CATTCCATTCCATTCTATTCTGTTTTCTATTCTTTTCTGGTTTTCTCTTCTATTTTCTGTTCTGTTCTGTTCTCTATTCTATTCTATTCTATTCTATTCTATTCTATTCTATTCTATTCTATCCTATCCTATCCTATCCTATCCTATTCTATTCTATTCTTTTTTTCCTCTTCTACATTGTCTTCTTTTCTGTTCTGTTCTCTATTCTTTTCTGGTTTTCTCTTCTATTTTCTCTTCTATTTTCTGTTCTGTTCTCTCTTCTCTATCCTATGGAAGAAACATCCTTCTAGGTTCTGCTCCAAGTGGGGAAAACAGACACTGGAAACATGGAGGCTGCTTGGAAGATGGTTTAATGGTGGACAGGATCACATGGCTTGAGTTCCTGAACAGAAAAAAGGGGCAGATACAGAAAATCCTCGGGTTTTTATGCTCTCTCTGGCTCTGCATTTCTTGGGGCCCCGAAAGAGTATCCTGATTGGTTGTCAGACTCCCAGGGGGTGGGGGCCTTGCTGGCTGATGGTCACATGTGCTTCCCAGGTCACATGTGGTGAGTTTCTGCTGCTATTGTGTAGAGGGCTAATCCTATCTTTGTTGGATCTTGGGCAATTCCTACTATGGCTCTGCCTGAAGGAGGTAGATCTTTGTTATGTAGAGTAGACTGGCCCAGGCCTTAATGGCCCATTGACAAAGGGTGGGGGGCAGGAAGGTGGGAGCTGCTTTGTCTGTAAAATATGCTTCACTCTTCCAGGAAAGGGGTGGGTGCTAACTTCCTACACTATCCTATCCTATTGAAAAGGATGGCACTAAGGGTGGCATGATCGCTGTCTTCCAGTATTTGAGGGGCTGCCGTAGAAGGCCTCTTCTCCAAAGCACCAGAAGACAGGAGAAAAACAACGGATGGAAACTAATGAAGGAAAAAAGCAACCTAGAACTAAGGAGAACTTTCTTGACAGTGAGAACATAGAGTTGGAAGGGACCTTGGAGGTCATCTAGTCCAACCCTCCTGCGTGAGCAGGAGACCCTACGCCATTTCTGACAAATGGCAGTCCAACCTCTTCTTGAAAGCCTCCAATGATGAAGCACCCACAACTTCTGAAGGCAACTTCTGTTCTACTGGTTGATTGTCCTCACTGCTAGGAAGTTTCTCCTTAATTCTTCTCTCCTTGGTGAGTTTCCATCTGTTGGTTCTTCTACTGCCTTCTGGTGTTTTGGAAAATAAGTAGAATAACCGACCCACCCCATTTGTGACAATTAATCAGTGGAACACCAGAAGTTATGGGTGCTCCATCATTTGAAGAAGAGTCCGGACCGGCATTTGTCTGAGATAGTATAGGACAGGTCTTTCCTGCTTGAGCACGGGGTTGGACTAGAAGACCTCAAAGCCCCTTCCAACACTGATGTTCTATGTAGGAATCTGCAGTTTAGTTTAGTTTTAGTTTAGTTTTATTTGATTTGTATACCGCCCTAACTCCCGAAGGACTCAGGGCAGTGAACAGCCACAAGATAAAAACACATAAATACAAAATTTAAAAACAGAATAAAACCAAATTAAATAATTTGGCCGAAGACAGATTTAAAACACCCCAATAAATTAAAACCAATTAAAATGTGTATTTTAAAAGGGAAAAAAGGGAAAAATTAGGCCAGGCCAGCCTGATGGAATAAAAAGGTTTTAAGAGCGTGGCGGAAGGTACGTAGATCCGGGATCCTCCATATCTCCGGGGGGAGCTCATTCCAGACAGTAGGTGCCCCCACAGAGAAGGGTCTCCCATTGTTTGGCAGTCTGCATATGTGCAGAAATTTTCCTATCTTGGATGGCAAACCTCAGATAAGGAAGGTTACTTGCAAGTAAGCACCAGGAAATGACATTAGAAGATAAAGACCCTAACTCTGTAAATAAGAGGAAGAGGAGGAGAGGAAGTGGGATGTGTGTTAGATTTTAATTATAGCTAAACATTATAAGTGCTTAAGCAAAGTAGTAATGATTAACCTATGATTTAAGTTACCTGGAAGATTCTGTGAGCCAATGATATATTCTGCCAAGTACGCTGTAACTTGAAAGTAACGAACTATATAATGTCACTATGTAAGACAATAAAGTTACCACATATATTCTCAACCTTTGTGTGTGTGGTCACTCGACATTCTGAATCTTCTATGCTCAGGGCCAGTCAGAAACTGAAGGACGAGGAAGCAAGTCCTGCACCTGATAGGTTGGTGTAATTACAATCAACTCCATTTGTGTGGCTTCGAAGAGGTCAGGGATCTGTGCCAAGGTGTAACCTCAGAGTAGGAAAACCTTTTGTTCCTCCTAAAACAATCTGGAGCAGAATCTGCCATCTTTGGCAACCTTTGTCACGCCTGTGACAACTGACAGCAATGATGGTTGTGGTGCTGATCTTCGTTCTTCATTCCACTGGTTAATTGTGAGAACAATTAACCAGTGGAACAGCTTGCCACTAGAACTTGTGGGTGCTCCATCACTGGAGGCTTTTAAGAAGAGATTGGACAGCCATTTCTCTAGAATGGTATGGGGTCTCCTGTCTGAGCAGGAGGCTGGACTAGAAGACTTCCAAAGTCTCTTCCAGTTCTATTCTGAATTTAATTTAATTTAATTTAATTTTTTTTAAAAAAAATGATTTATATGCCGCCCTTCTCCGGAGACTCAGGGCGGCTTACAGTGCGTTAAGCAATAGCCTTCATCCTTTTGTATATATTATACAAAGTCAGCTTATTGCCCCCACAAACTGGGTCCTCAATTTATCTACCTTAGAAAGGATGGAAGGCTGAGTCAACCTTGAGCCTGGCGAGATTCGAACTTACTTTAATTGCAGACAACTGGTGTTGAATTGCAGTGCCTTGTCTGCAGAGCTACCCAGGCTCCTAAATTTTAATTTCAATTTTAATTTAATTTAATTTAATTTAATTTAATTTATTCTCACCCATGCTGCCCTCACATCGGCCTCATGTTGTCACCTGTTTTATCCTTTTTCCCACAGGTTTCAGACTAAATTATTGTCCTAAATTCTCTACTCAGAGTTGTCATAAAGCATTTATCCCACTTGGCAATTTGAAGGCAGGCAGCTGGGTGACCTTGGACCAATGACTAGATGATGGTGAGTTCTAGTCCTGCCTTAGTTATGAAAGCCAGCTAGGTGACTTTGGGGCAATCACCAGGTGACAGTGAGTTATAGTTTTCCTTTAGGCATGAAAGCCACTGGGTGATTTTGAGCCAATCACCAGGAGACTGGGAGATATAGTTCCTTCCCTGGACCCGGCCGTATTAGCCAATTATCGCCCAGTCTCCAACTTCACTTTGTGGCAAAGGTTGTTGAGAGTGTGGTGGTGCGACAACTTCCCCAGTACCTGGATGAAGCCGATTATCTAGATCCGTTCCAGTCGGGCTTTAGGCCAGGGCACAGCACGGAAACGGCATTGATCGCATTGGTGGATGATCTCTGGAGGGCTCGGGACAGGGGCTGCTCCTCTGTCCTGTTAGATCTCTTAGCGGCTTTTGATACCATCGAACATGGTATCATGCTGTGACGATTGGAGGGGTTGGGAGTGGGGGGCACTGTGTTGCGGTGGTTCTCCTCCTTCCTCTCCGACTGTACGCAGTTTGTGTTGGCAGGGGGGCAGAGGTCGACCTCGAGGCGCCTTATTTGTGGGGTGCCGCAAGGGTCAGTCCTCTCGCCCCTTTCGTTCAACATTTATGTGAAGCCGCTGGGTGAGATCATCCGTGGTTTCGGGGTGAGGTTCCATCAGTACGCTGATGATACTCAGCTGTATCTCTCCACCCCGGACCACCCCAATGATGCCCTTGACGTGATGTCCCGTTGCCTGGAGGCCGTGAGGGTCTGGATGGGGAGGATCAGGCTCAGACTCAACCCTTCTAAGACCGAGTGGCTGTGGCTTCCGGCGTCCCGGTATAGCTGGCTCCATCGCTGACTATTGGGGGCGAGATCCTGGCCCCCACAGAGAGGGCTCGCAACTTGGGTGTCCTCCTGGATGCACGGCTGTCTTTGGAAGATCATATGACGCCCGTGGCCAGGGGAGCTTTCTATCGGGTTCGCCTGATACACCAGTTGCAGCCCTTTCTGGACCGGGATGCCCTGCGCACAGTCACTCATGCCCTCGTCACGTCACGTCTGGACTACTGTAACACTCTCTACATGGGGCTCCCCTTGAAGAGCACTCGGAGGCTCCAACTGGTCCAGAATGCGGCCGCGCGGGTGGTTATGGCGCACCCACGTAACACCCCTCCTGCGCGAGCTGCACTGGCTCCCAGTGGTCTTCCGGGTGCGATTCAAGGTGTTGGTCACCACCTTTAAAGCGCTTCATGGCTTAGGACCAGGGTATATACGAGACCGCCTTCTGCCAGCAACAACCTCCCACCGGCCAATACGCTCCCACAGAGAGGGGCTCCTCAGGGTGCCGTCGGCCAAACAATGCCGACTGGCGACACCCAGGGGAGAGCCTTCTCTGTGGGGGCACCAGCCCTCTGGAATGAGCTGCCCCTAGGACTTTGTCTTATCCCCGACCTGCGTACTTTTTGCCGCGCCCTGAAGACCCCTTTGTTTCAACAAGCCAGACTGACCTAATATGAATTTTATTACGGGTGTAGGTGTGTTTTAATTTGCGGGCCAATTTTATATATTGATTTTAATTTGGTTTTAAATTTTATAAATCTATGTGTTTTAATATGGCTGTACACTGCCCTGAGTCCTTCGGGAGAAGGGCGGTATAGAAATCTAATAAACTAATAAACAAGTAGTTTTCGAATTTACAACCACAATCGGGCCCCAAATTTCTGTTGTTAAGTGAGACATTGGTCAAGTGAATTATCTGTAACCAAGAATTATCTGTAATTCTGCTCGCAACCCAGTTAGGCCCAAAAGAACAATAAATTCGATCCTCAAATCGAGATAAACTATCGTGAAGCAAACAGAATTGGAGACAAAGGATGAAAAGTTGTTGGAAAAGAAGAAAAAGCAAGACCCTTGCCCAGAAAATTTTTATTATTTATTTATTATTCAGAAAACTTACACAGCTTTTTAAATCAATCTCGGTGACTCCGGAGCTCTTTCAAAATACAGATCGTGCTCGACTTATGACAATTCACTTAGTGACTGCTCCAAGTTACACTGGCATTGGAAAAAAAGCAACTTGTGACCCTTTTTCAGACTTATGACCATTGCAGCATCAGTCAAAATTCAGATTCTTATCAACTGACTCACATTTATGACAGTCGCAGTGTCCCAGGGTCACATGATCCTCTTTTGCAAATTTGTCAGGAGTCCATGGGGAAGCCAGATTCACTTAACGACCATGAGACTTACTTGAGAAATGCAATGATTCACTTAACAACCGTAGCCAGAAAATTCATCAAATGGGACAAAACTCTCTTAACAAACGTTTCACTTAGCAACATAAATTTTGGACTCAATTCTGATCGTAACTCGAGGACTATCTGTAAAGACAGGATGGAAAAACTGATCTTTCTCCCAAAAAGACTCATACTTTGCAAAGCCTCATTTCGGCATTTACAGGTTATTCTCGACTTACGATCACAATTGAGCCCGAAATTTCTGTTGCTAAATGAAACATTTATCAAGAGAATTATGCCCTGTTTTACGACCATCCTTGCCGCATTCACTAAGCAAATGGTCGTTAAGCAAATCCAGCTTCCCCTTTGATTATGCTTGTCAGAAGGTAGCCAAAGGGATCACGTGACAGCCCCCCCATGCAACCGTCATAAATACGAGTCAGTTGCCAAGCATCTGAATTTCGATCATGTGACCACGGGGAGGCTACAACGGTCGTAAGTGTGAAAAAAAAAAACCCAGTCCCGAGTCCCTTGCCATTGGAAATTTGAACGGTCACTAAATGAACCGTTGTAAATCGAGGACTGCCAATATTGCCTTTAAAAAAAAAAAAAAAGCTGGGTTACTGATTCTAAGTCGCATGCTCATTAAAGTCAAGATTCTTTGCCCTAAACAGAGGTCTAAATGGGAAAAGCAAAGCTGGAAAAATGTGGAAAGTTTTTTTTAATCGATGGAAAACTGGAAGATTTGGTCCTTCTGAATCACGGCTTAGAAGCGGAAATTTACGCCGATGACAAAGCGGTTATTGTGGATGAACTCATGAATGCCATCCCTGATTTTTTTGAAAAAATTCTTGAATCTCTTGACACGTTTGGGCCGGTCCTAGAGAAGAAGAACGTAGAACACAGAGTTGTAGGGGACCTCCGAGGTCATGTAGTCCGCTCTACAGGAAACCCTTTTCTCCCCTTCTCCTTCTTGTCCTTCTTCTTCTCAATATGACATCTAGTCCAACCCACTTCTCTAGCAGGAATCCTTTTTCTTCTCCTTCTCTTCCTTCTTCTCAGAATGACAGAGTTGGAGGGAGCTTGGAGGTCATCTAATCCAACCCCCTCTCTAGAAGGAATCCCTTCTCTCCTGTACTTCTCCTCCTCCCGCTCCTTCTCCCCCTCCTCAGAATTACAGAGTTGGAGGGGATCCGGGAAGTCTTCTAATCCAGCCCCCTGCTCTAGCAGGAAACCCTATAACATTTAAGACATATCGTGGTCCAATCTCTCAACTGAGATGGGGGTCTCCTCCCACCTGGCAAACGGTTCAACCCTCCTTCTAGACCAGTGTTTCTCAACCTTGGTAGCTTGAAGATGGGTGGACTTCAACTCCCAGAATCCCCCAGCCAGCAGCGCTGGCTGGGGGATTCTGGGAGTTGAAGTCCACCCATCTTCAAGCTTCCAAGGTTGAGAAACACTGTTCTAGACCATCCTAGGAACTACCACACCCCCTTCTTACCTTCTTCTCCTCCTCTTTCTCCTCCTCCTTCGCTGATCCCTCCACGGCGTCACAGGTGAGAACAGCCACTGGGGGCCTCTCCTCCAGGAAATAGTAGCCTGTGCATTGTCTGATCAGCTGTGGAGGAGAAAAAAGGGTGGTGAGACTCAAGATATCTCTCAGAACTCAGATTCCATGGAGACCACCATCTCCTTTCCTACGGAGGAATCTTGGAATCTTGGACCCTTCCCGGACAAAGTTAGACAATCTAAGCTGGTGGATCCTCAGTCTCTCCATGTACACTTTAGGAGAACAGGAAATAACTTTTGAAGGGTTCGAGGGTCCTTCCCCATCCTTGTATCTGGCCCTAAGAGTTGGCTTGGAGAACCGAGAAGTAGATGTCCCTCAAGACAAAGGTAGAAGTTGAAGAGCTCTTTCTTCAACCCAATGGAGATGGCACTCCAGTTTCACCTCTGCCAAGAAGATCCTACAGAGGTCCCAACAGACCTGTCTCCATCTACCATACATCACCCAACCAGTTGGGTATCAATCCCTCACCCCGTTTTCTTTGAAGTCGCATTCCTCCATGGAAAATTCTTCTTCTACCGGGCACACCGTCTGTTTGATGGTGAAGTTCAGCTCTTGATTGCTTTCAGAATAGGGATCCTGAAACAAGACATAGCAAAACCGAACAGCTAGTTTGAAGGCCACCTGTACCTTCTCCTGTTTTAGACTGGGAATCCTTTCTGAATGGCTCTTTATGTAGCCACTTGAAAGCGGCTGCAGAGAAGACTCCAAGCCAGTTCTAGAAGTTCTGGACTCCATGCCCTGATTGACCATAGATGAAGACTTTTCGAGATCTCCATACTAGGAGAACAGGGTGAGTGGGTCTCTCTTTTTCAGCTAGTTCCCCCATAGTCTCAGAAGTGATCCCCAAGGCGATGTGTCTACTCTATAAAGACCAGGATGAAGTCCACCATGAGCCTGAAATAGCTTTCCCAACTCATGGTTAGCACATTTCAGCTTTTAACCCTGCTTGGGAAGACTATACTGTACCAGAATGGTGTCCTTTTCTGAAGGGTGCAGGGACAATTGTTTTCAAAGAATGTACAAGGTGCCATGAGCTCATGAAACTCTACTGTGTCTTGAACACTCTTTGAGATGAGAAGTCTCCTGGATGTGGTACAGACGGTGCTGTACCAGGAGCAACAGAAGTCATCTCAGAGCCAGGAGCTTCTAGGGGGACTTTGGGCATCTCCTCTCTCTCTCTCTCTTTCTTTCTCTCCCTCCCTCCCTCCCTCCCTCTCTCTCTCTCTGCCTACCCTACTTCCTGCCTACCCAGGAGAAGGACGGAAATGGGGAAGTTGTGTTTGCTGCCTTCAGTGGGGGAGGTAGATCATACATATTGTCATCATCTTCAGCATGGACTTCATGATTATCACTATCACCATCACCATCACCTTCATCTTCCTTCTCTTCCTCCTCACCATCATCACCATCCTCAATTCATCCTCCTCAACTCCATCATTGCCATCATCACCTTCATCCTCCTCATCTTCATTTTCACCATCCTTACCATCCTCACCATCACCATCCTCAACTTCATCATCCCCATCCTCCTCATCCTCCTCAACTTCATCATCCCCATCATCTTCATCATCCCCCTCATCCTTGATTTCATCCCCACCACGATCCCCATCACTTTCATCATGTCCATCCTCCTCAACTTCATCCTCACCATCATCCCCATCACTTTCATCATTCCCATCCTCTTCGACTGCATCATCCCCATCTTCACCCTCATCTCCATCGCTTTCACCATCTCCATCCTCCTCAGCTTCATCAGTACATTCATCACCCCCATCATCCTCGACTTCATCCCCACCACGATCCCCATCACCTTCCTCATTCCCCCACCACCACCCTGCCAGCTCTGGACTCCATACCCATTCAGGCTGAGGAACATCTTCCAGGAGACGGTAGAGGGAGTCTTCCCCGGCTTTCTTATTGTAGATCTCCACTCCGAGATGTAGGGCCTCGTCATAGGTCAAGGGATTGCGGGGTAAGTGGGGGCTCCCAGAGGCTGAAAGGATCCCAACCAGCATCAAGGTCTTCCAAAAAAACCCTTCCATCCTTGGTTCTTCTGCTATGGAGGTCCAAAGCTGATGTGGTCCATGGGATCACGACGCTTCTTTTATGCCCTGCTATGCAGATTGACCAGCTGCTGGCGAACGGCCAGGGGTTTTCCCCATTGAATTCCCCAAGGTCCTTCCTGCAGAAGGCATGCTCCTTTTCTTGGGAGGGGGACTGAGACAAAGCAGGGCCAATCAGGAACTGTTTTGTTCAGGTGGGAAACTGGAGGACAAGGAAACAGGTGCTGCACCTGGCAGGCCCATGGAAAGTGGTTGGTGTAGGTTTCAATCAACCACCGTTTTCTCCATTCACAAAGGTTAGGGACCGCTGCCAAGGAGTAACCTCAGAGTAGGGGACCATTCATCTCCATTAAACAATCTGGCGTGGGATCTTCCGTTTTTGGCACCCTCCACGACCAAGGACAACCGTGGTGGCTGTGGCCTTCGCCCTTTGCTTTCATCTGCTGCTCCCGCCACCTCTGTCTCTTAAAATTGGCTATTTTCCCCAATGGAGTTTTCAGACTGACCACCATCTCTCCCAAATCCTCCACTTGCACCTGTCTGAAGTTTGTACAACATACAACAGTAGGCTTGGAAGCAACTTTGGAAGTCTTCAACCCACTGCTCCAGCAGGAGACCTGATGCAATCCCAGATTATTATTATTATTATTATTATTATTATTATTATTATTATTATTATTATTCTATTTATATGCCGCCCTTCTCCGGAGACTTAGGGCAGCTTACAATGCGTTAAGCAATAGCCTTCATCCTTTTGTATATTTTATACAAAGTCAGCTTATTGCCCCCCAAATCTGGGTCCTCAATTTACCTACCTTAGAAAGGATGGAAGGCTGAGTCAACCTTGAGCCTTGGAGAGATTCGAATTTGCAGTAATTGCAGGCAGCTGGTGTTAATCACAATGCTATCAGTCTGCTGAGCCACCAGGCCCGTACTAGATGAATGGCTATCCAGTTTTTTCTTGAAGACATTCAGGGTTGAAGCACCCACAGCTTCTGGTGGCAAACTGTTCCATTGGTTAATTATTCTCCTTAATTCCAG